CAGAATCCCTCCCACCCCAAGCCCCTGCTCCCGTGTGCCATGTCCCTGGGTATCCTTTGGATGTATAGTGGGCATTGTGCCCAGCTTTATCAGTGCTGGGAGAGTGTGTGTACAGGGTTCAGCTGGGGCTTGTCGCAGGCTGGGACATGCCTGGCTCTTGGTGTCCCCTGCGTAGGAGCTGATTGTGCTCTTTCTGTTGATGGCTTCCTGGGGACTTTGTCTCGGAGTGTTTAGCAGGGCAGGTTTGAATGTCTGCAGGAGACTGGGTGACAACAGTCTGGTTGTCTGTATCCCCTGGATATTTTAGCCTGTGGTGTTTTATTTGACTCTCTTGGGTCTCACCCATATGGACATTATTTTACTTGTTGCTAGGTGATTTAGGCAGACCTTTTCTGCCTCAGTTGATGTACTGGAGAAGCCACCGCCCTTATCCTCTCATACCCTCAAGCTTGTCTCAGATGTTTTGTTGGTTTGTTTGCTTGTTTGTTTTCCTAATTGATTTTTTTTTTTAACTGCACTGTAAGCTCTGTGAAGACCAGGGACTTTGTGTTCACTACTGAGCATCAAAAATACAGCTTGTTACCTAGGAAACAATAAATAATTATTGAGTGACTAATTGAATGGGCAGAGAGTTGTGGAAGGCACAGTGAAATGGCCTTTCTCTGGCTACTTAGTTTTCATCCCATCCCATTGCTACCAGTGTGAGGGAGAGCCCAGAAAGCTTTTTTTTTCTGAAGGAGGGCACTTGGAAGAGGCCATTTTAGTCAGGGGGCTGCAGTTTACCGAATAAGTAACTGTGGGGGAAGGCAGCCTAAGAAGATAGGCACAGGAGGAAAGGTAAACCACTGTGTCTGCCAATGTTGTGTCCTCTGTGCCTCTGTCATGTGCTCATCCCACAGCATGTGGCTGTTTGGACAGTTAGTTCTGTGATAATTGGGACCAAATCTCATGCATCATGCCAGGGGAGAGGGAGGGGGAGGGAGAGGGTCCATTTTGGAGGCATCTCAGGGCAAACAGGCCAAAGCCAGGCACAGACTGAAGTCACACAGACATCTAGTCACAGGAAAGATTTTCCCATCTCCACTTGCTCTGGTGGTATTTCCTCCTAGTACTTTAATTAGGAAGGCTGGAGAGCTGTCTCAGTGCTTAAGAGCACTTGTTGCTCTTCAGAGGAGCCAGGCAGAATCCACATCATGGTTCACGACTATCTGTAACTCCAGTTCCGATGACCTCTTCTGACCTTCGTTGGCACCAGGCATAGGCATGCAATACACACCTGCAGACAGTACATCCACACACATAAAATAAAAAAAAAGAAATATATATATATATCTGTTTGCTAACTACGTAAGTAACAGATTAGCACAGTTTGAAGCTTTACAGCATGTCTTGTAAGACCTGGACAGCGGAGGCTCCTCTTTGCCGGAGGCTATGTGACTCTTCCCACACTTAGGAATTCTGTATTCATCATTCCCTGAGCTGCTGCATTAGTTTGAGGCGCATATACATCCATGTATAGCAGACACATTCACTCATACTTGTTTCTGGGCCTTATGAAAATGAGGACATCTCCTGGGTTGTTTCCTGGGGACCCCTTCCCCACCATCCTGTTTTCTTCATGTTCTCAGTGCTGTTTCCCTTTGGACCCCTTAGGCTTGGTATGACTCCTAGCGAGTGGCTCCAGGCCACTCTAATTTTAACTTTTTACGGGCTGTCAGTAGGCTTTCCCATGTTGTTTCACTTATGGGAAGCATTTAGTCATTTCCTAACCTAATGAGAGTTAAACATCCCTAGCCAGCCCCAGAAATGTGTTGTGAAACATTTCCAATTAGGATGAATTGGGATGAGCACAGAGTCCGGGTGAGAAGGAGTACGCTTGGTGGGGCAGGAATGGCCCCTCCACTGGGTACAGTCTGACAGGTAGAACGAAGGCCTTCTGTAGAGGCCTCTTAGGGTGAGGAGCAGTGCATGCTGGGGCTTTGGGGTTATAAACAGGCTGTCCAGAGATCAGAATGGTGTTCTTCCATGCTGGCCTTCACCAGTCAAGTGTCTGTGGTTCACTTTCTAGTGAATCCCCACAAGTCCCAGTGTGTCAGAGTTACAGTTGCATGAGCTCGGCTTACATATGTAGACATTTTCTTGACAATTCTGAGGAAGGTTGCTAATATCTGTTTTCCAAAACCCACAAGTTTTTGGGGCCTGAGTCGTCTTTGATAAGCACGTGCCAGGTGTTTCTGAAGAGGGCCCTTCCTCTGACCTGGGTACTAGGAGCAAGCCCCCTTGTTCCTCCAACAAAAATGACCCATTTAGCCAGGCATTTGTGGGAGACTGTCCTTTGCATTGTTAGATGTTCAGTGGGGTCCCTGACCCTAGTTACTAAACCCTGGGCGCATCCTTTCTCCTACTATGACAGGCAAAAGGTGTTCTTAGCATCTCTCAGCAGTTCCTAGGACAGGTCAGGTGGACATGGCAGGTCTTACAGAAATCCTAACCAGTGAGCCGTCTCTCCAGCACCCACCCAACCCCTTATTTGGGGGCAGGGTCTCATGTGCGTCTTGGGTTCACTGCATAGGTGAGGATGACTTTGAACTTCTGAGCTTCCCAAGTGCTAGAATTGCAGGCATGTACCACCATGCTGTTTATTCTGGGTGTTGAACCAAGGGCTTTGCTTGCACACGCCAGGTGAGCACTCTGCCATCTGAGCATACCCTGCACTTCTTTGTGGGCAAATGAGATTGAATACCCCATTCTAGTTTGTGGCAGCAGTATGGTGGAAGGGACATTATAAAATAGTGATATCTGTGTGTTTGTGTACACTTGTGCTCATGTGCCCACATGCACATGCTTGCAAGCGTTCTAGAAGGCAGAATCACAGAGGGCCCCTGGAGCTGGAGCTTTGGGCGGTTGTGAACCATCTGGTGCTGGGAATTGAACTCTGGTCTTTGGAAGAGCAACGCATGCTCTTAATCTCTGGGGTCTCTCCATCCCCTGAGAGCACTTTTTTACATGTATGAGGCCTATATGGTATTCATGTAAGATGTGACAGGTGTTGGACACGTGCTGCTGCTGTGTGCTGACCCCCCAGTCACCATCCGCTCTGAGAAGGTTGGTTACCCAGAGGCCTGGGCCCATCCCACACACAAATGGAGGCTGGTGGAGGTGAAGAAAGTGGCCCAAGGTGCTGAGTCGATGGTGGTAGGCCTGGGGAATGGAGATGCCTTTCTAGAGTCAGTGAGTTCTCTGTGCCATACCCTGGACCTGTTATACTAGCTTCTATGCGGTTGAGCCAAATCCATGCCAGTGTGGCCTTGGCTGACATATCTTGCCATAAAAGTACATAGCACAAGCAAGAAGCTCATGACAACGGAAGCCTCGTTAAACAAGAGCAGCAGCAGGAGTATTGGGAATTCTTTGTTTTCTTTTCTTCAGAATTATTTCTCTAGAATAAATGATCATGTATAACCATCTGGAGCAGGGGATAAGCCTGCCTTCTTCCCTTCCCCCTTCTCTTCCCTTCCTTTCCTCAGTCTGCTGTATATATGTATATATGAAAAAAAAAAAACAGGATTGGCTCCAGAAAACAGTGTGCCATGTCTGTGGTGGATACAAAGTAGGCCCCTGCCTCATGCTTGCTGTGGTTAGTAGAGTCAAGACGGCAATAATACTGGAAGGTTGTGGTCCATTACAGCCAAATGTGGCCTTGTAAGGATTCCTGTGTGTGTTTTTATGAGACTCTTTGGCTTTCTCATTTAGGGCTTTCAGAAGCCGTGAGATGAGTTGGACCAGAGCAGGTATCAGATAGAAATCAAAGTCTCTTCATGGTTTGGGGGACTCCCATGGCAGCCTGCCCTTGGAACGCCCCGCCCCCACCATTCTCACACACACACACACACACACACACACACACCCAACCCCTGACCCAGGCCCTCAATATCCTCCTAGGCACACTTCCTCACTTAGTCCCAAGGTCTAGCTTTCTGTGCTGGGGCCCTCCTGCACCCCAAGTTTCCTTTGCTCTTCAGTGGTCTTGCCCGCCCAGCCCCCAGCCTCTTCGCCCCTCACTCCTGCCCTTCTATCATTTCTGCATGTCTGGGGTGCATGGTGCAAGGGGCTCCTGCAAATGTTAGTCAGGAGGGAATGAAGCAGCATGCCGTGTGTCACTTTGGAAATGTGCTAGGTGGGATTAACCTCCAGGGCCCCGGGGCCAGCATTTGGCACAGTTCATTATGCTGCATTTTACTGGCTAGGGTGAGCTCTTCTTAATTCATTTATTTTGTGTTTGTGCACTTGTGGAAGTCAGAGGACAGCTCTTGGGCAGTCAGTTCTTTCCTTCCACCGTATCAGCCCCAGGGCTTGAAACCAGGTCTCCATGCTTGGTGACAGGTGCTTTTCCTCTCAGCCATCCTGCCACAAGCTCTTGACTGTTGGAGCCTCAGGTCTTAGACCAGTTTGAAAATTAGCCTGGGAAGCTGTGTAGGCATTGGCCGAGTGCACAAACGCTGGACTTGTAATGTCACTGTGCACCTTGACATATGCACATGTGCACAAACACAAACTCAGTGAATTAAGAAGGGCTGGCCTTAAGGCCCCCCCCCCCCCATCAGGACCCCTGGCCTGGCAGTGTCACCTGATGGCATTCATCTTCAGCTTAGAGCAAAGGTCACCATAACTTTCTCACTGTAGAACCAGTGCCGGCAGTTGGCACCTGTAGCTGCCAGCCCTGCTGAATAGAAGGAGGGCTGAGAAGGGGCTTTGTGGGCCCACCATCCTGCTTTCTCCTCCTCCAGGATCTCTTACAGACAGGCTGCCGTGAAAAGGGGACAGGCTATGTACACAGTATCCCTCCAGGCTGCAGGCGCACACGGGTGGAGGGTCTACCACAGGGCTCCTTGGGTCTCAGAGTACCCTGAGCAGGCAGCATCAGAGGGAATGAATGCTTTCTTGAAGGAGCTTTTAGTATTGGCAGAAAAACTTAACTACTTTTCTCTGTTCCTGCACAGAGCGACCAGCAGCTGGACTGCGCCTTGGACCTGATGAGGCGCCTGCCTCCACAGCAGATCGAGAAAAACCTCAGTGACCTGATCGACCTGGTGCGTACTGTCTTCATGTGCTTTCACTTGAGGCCAAGACACATATTTGCTGTCTTCTGGGATGCTCTTTCTGTGGAATTCAAAACACAGGAAACCTTCTCTCCCAGGCCAGACCCCCACCATTAGGCTCCGAGATTCCTCCCGACAGAGAAGATGAGTTTCATATGGTGGACTTTGTCTGAGCCCTTCTGTATTGATAAAGTCCAGCGTAAGCGTTAATTGTAGAGTTAACTGTGACCCCCTCCCCCACATACCTTGTCCACAGTTTCTAGAAGCTTGCATTTGGGCCACACCTTTACGGGCACCCACCAAGGTCGACAGCCCAGGCCCCCGGCAGCGTCCTTTCTAGCCTGAAAGGTTTAACAGCACAGGGTTTGGTTTTGTTGTGAGACAGGGTTTCTCTGTGTACCCTCGGCTATCCTGGACTCACTTTGTAGATCAGGCTGGCCTCGAACTCAACAGAAATCTGAAATCTGCCTGCCTCTGTCTCCCTGTCTGTCGGGATTATAGGTGTGTGCCACCATGCCTGGCACAAAGTTTTTTGGTTTTTGTTTGTTTGTTTTGTTATATATATATAAACAATAAAACCATTTTAGAATTTACAAGGCCATCTCTTGACAACAAACAAAGCTTCCAGTACTAAGACCAGGTTACAACCAATTGAGGTGTTGACCAAAGGGGTCCCGTGGAAATCCTTCAGCAACCCATAAGGTTGATAAGAGACGAGGCAACTCTACACAAAATGACAGCAAGGTGCCATTGTTGAAGACACACCCACACTACTCACTGATGTGGAGAGGTCAAGCTGGTGCCTACATCGAAACTTCGCTCCTATGTTTTGGTGTTTTGGGTACAATACTTTACCCTGCAGGCTACCAAAAGACAAATATAGTCACCAACCAAACCAGAGAATATTGACACAAAGTTTTTATTTATCTATCTATCTATCTATCTATCTATCTATCTATCTATTCATTCATTCATTCATTCAATGAATGCTCTGTCTTCATACACACCAGAGGAGGGAATCAGATTCCATTACAGATGGCTGTGAGCCACCATATAGTTGCTGGGATTAGAACACAGGACCTTTGGAAGAGCAGTCAATGCTCTTAACCACTGAGCCATCTCTCCAGCCCTGACACAAAGGTTTTAATACATCTGTTTTAAAAATATTCAGCTCTTTTTTTTTAAAGTTTGCTTTTTTAAGTTTAAACATATAAAATAATTGGCTTTAAATTGATGCCTCAGATGAGCTGGTGCTGAAGTACTATTTGAAAATACTAAAATACTCAACATTGTAAAGCCACAGGAAAAATTGAAATCAGCTCCCAGGAGGCCTTCCAGCTTACTAACATGATTTAATGGGGCTCCGGAACGAGGTCTGCGTTTCCCATCCTGTCCCATGTCTTCCTGGATGTGAAACAGTGAGGCCTCCTTTGCAGTGGGGTTTTCAACCATTCGTCTGCTCTGGTGACTTACTTGTATTCTGTTGTTGGGGTTGAGAACACGTTCACCAGGAAAACAATGGGATAGTAGATTTTCATCAACCCCAGCAAAAATTCCCTTAGCATCCGGGAAGGTCCCCAGTGCAACCATCTCTGTTTATAGGACCCGAAGCCCCAGCTGTGAGCAGGTGTGTGAGACAAATATGAGGCCGATGGAAAGAGTTGTGAGACTTAATTGAAGAAAAAGAAAAAAAAATCCTCAGGATGTGAAAAGGGAGTGGTTTCAGGAACATAGTGGCCCTGTGGAAAAGCTAGCCATAGGTGTCTCGTGCTGAACTTGAAGAGAAGGTGGGTGTAAACAAGGTAGTGTCAAGGTGCACCTGGGTACACACACACACACACACACACACAAGGTATGTTGAGATGGCAGTGACAGCTAGGATGTCAGAGAGGCTTGGAGTGGTGAGTGTCCCGTCCAGCACTCTGAACGCTGCTGTGTGCAGGGTGTCCACTGTTTCTGTGGCCTTATTTAAACCTCAGCCATCCTGTGAGGCAGCTCTGCCAAGTGCAGTCTGGGAGGTGTTGACTTTTTCTTGGTCAGCAGTCTTTGTGTGGACGAGGGGGGCCAAAGTTGGAGGTGTGACCAGGTCTCCCTGTCCTCAGCTGTGAGAGTTGCCTTTTCAACTCTGCAGGAAAATGTGCTTAGCAGAGGCTCAACTTGGTTATTACCGTAGTTTTGAAATAATCCTGACACGGAAGCATGAAAGGATGAACTCATTTTTCTCTTCCGACTCTTGATGTTTAACGGGCTGTTTTGTTCTTATGGCAACCGAAGCATCGTGCTACAGCTGCAGATTTCCCCCGAGGCCCCCTCATCACTCATCTCTGAGATGTGTGTAGCGTGATTGCTTTGCTGCGGATGCCAGTTTCCCTCAGGTCCAAGGGGGAATCGAAGCATGATAGGAAAGGAAGGGAGGCTGAGGGGTGCCTTCCCCCAAACACTGGGTCAGGGTGCTCTGCCTCAGTTGCCTGAGCAGGCTGCACAGACACAGGGCCAAGTGGCCCAAACTATGTCTGTCCTGGCACCTGACTATATGCCTCCTTTTCATGCTGTCCTCTACAAAAACTGCCCGGAAAGTGGTAGAGGGGAGAAGGGAGACCAGGGTTGAGGGTAGGAGCTAACTTGTTGACTGCGCCCAGCAGTTGGGGTTTGAATCTTGAAGTCCTCCAGAGGGTTACATACTCGAAGGCTCCATCTTCAGCTCATGGCACTGTTGGGAGGCAGTGGAAGGAGGTTGGCCCTCTGGGGCAAGAAGGTGAAGGAGGTACTGGGACCCTGGCCCCGTCCTTTGTTTATGGTCAGCATGAGGCGAGCAGCCTTCGCCCACACTTCGTATTAGGTTGTTTGGCTTCACCCCAGGACCGAGAGTCCCAGAGCCAACTGACCATGGACAGAGAACTCTGAAGCCAGAAGCCACAGCCAGACAGAAGAAACTTGTCCTCCCTGTAAGTTATGGTGGAATTTGGTCACAGTAGTGGAAACCTTGCATACTACTGGGTGTCTACATCTGAGCGCAAAATTTCCATCTGATTTTTCTTTTTAACCTTTTGAAGGTCCACATGTCCAACTCACCTTTTTGAGAAACTGAGGCTGTAGGGAGGTCTTGTGGCCAGATGGCATCAGGGATGCTGGTGTCCCCTGCTCTGCGTTCAGTGTCACCTGTGAGTGGGATCATCCAGCCAGAGCCTGGATGCAGCTGTCTCCACGATACCCCAGTTTTACCTGTGTGGAGAACAAGCTAAATAACTTGATTCACTAGTAATGTAAGATGTTGGGAATGTTCTAGAGACATTTTTCTTTTTATTGCTTGGTTTTTGAGTCAAGGTCTGGCTGTGTTATCCCAGGTTGGCCTTGAATTTGACATCCTTCTGCCTCTGCTCCTCTGTACTGGGATCAGAGGCACCAGCTACCGTGCCTAAGTCAAGTTTTAAGTTGCTGCACTTTAAAAGTAGTATATGGGACATGAAGGAATTCCCTTCTTAGAGCAAACCTTTCAGGGTTAGCTTCACGGTATGGCTTGAAAGGTGCCAGCTTATGTGGAGTCAACCTGGGATCAGGGGCCTCGGGATCACCTGGAAGGCAGATCCCTCTCAGTGAACAGGTTGGGGATTTGGGGCACTTACTAATTTTTTAATTGAAGCATGATGGATGTCAAGATGGAAATGGGGCATGACTTCTCAACAGATTAGGCTCTAGTGAAGCATGGCTCGTTAAAGCCGCACCAACAAGCTGCAGGAGCCACATGTGAGTGATGGCCTGCCGTCAGGGTCCCCTGTATGCAGTCCACGTGTGTGGAGCACTTGGCCTGCCTTGTGCTGGACCCAGAGTTGGCTGTAAAAGTCACTCCAAACGCACTACGGTTTTTCTCCTGTTGTGCTCAGAGGTGACAGTTTGCAGCCCTCTTATCCTGTGCAGGAGGCTCTGTGTCCTGGTGTGGTTCTGAAGTCACATGCAGTTTCAGTGTCTTCCCAAAGCTAAGATTTCAGAAAACTCATCCTACCTATGGTCACATTTCCATAGTTCGGGGCTGGGGTGTTTCTAGCGGGGCTCACGCAGGGACCACAGCATTCCTGTGTGCTCACCTACTCAAGCCAGTGAGGAAAGGACCTGTTCTTGAGGGTCATCTCCAGCTTTGAGACCCTTGAGAATGTTGGGGTTTGCCTGTGTTCCCCCTCTGGCCCCATTTACATATCAGAGCCAGGCTGCTGCAGAGGGATCTGTCTGGTCCACGCAAGGCCCCGTTACAGAGTCCCATCAAAATGTGCTGTGTGCTTGGGAGCCAGGCCCCGGCAGCCCGGTTTGCCCTGAGCCAGGTCAGCACTCTGCCTTCTCCACAGCATCACAGCCTTTGCTGCCTTGGGATTCTGCTGGGAAGTGACCATCCTTTGCAGGTGGCCAAGACATTATTTTATCACATACTAATTCCATTGTGTTAGAGGGAAACTGGCCGAAATTGGTTGTTAAGCTGTTTCAGAAATACCCACACACCCATGTGGGTCGGGGATCATGTGATATGAAGATCCTTTGACCTTCTATGGCCTCTCTGCTGAGGGATATTTTGAGTCTTGAGCTGAGGAAGGATTTCTTTTTCTGCAGATTGGCATCTACCAGGCCATCCGTCCTTTGCCTTTTTAAGATCACACCAAAAATAGCCGTGGATCTGTTTTACCAGCCCAGGAGAGCTCGCCTCACAAACATCAGTCACTGTGTTTTTTCTAATTCCTTCCTTCCCTCCTATAGTAACCCAGAGGCTTCATTCTTGGGTTTCCCCAGACTTAATTAAACAAAGGGAAGACCTCAGAGCTGGGATTGCTGCTAGCCACTCTGGCCAGGCCTAGGGAGGAGGAGGTAGAGGAGGTGTCCTTAAGCTTGACCACCCTGTTGATATCCTGACCAAGTTTGGTCCAATATATTTTTTGTTATAGCAACCAGACTGTCACTCTCCAGAACTGGAAAGGGCCATGGAGGACACGGGGTGGGGGAAGTCGGGC